CAATACTGTTTCTCTGGAATCTTTTTCATTTGCTGAGGGCTGGGGTAGGAAAATTTGGGCTCTTAGGTTATTTATAAAGTGATACATATTCCAAATATGAGAAAGAAATGTTGGTTTATGGAATAGGGGACAATAATTCAAATTGTATTTTCAGTACTTCCAATGTATGAAAATTTCTTATGCCCTATGCCTCATTCATAAAAGAGCCTGTGGTGGAGATTGTGATCATCTTTGTTGGGTTTTTAATATACATCTTTATTTTGCTCTGACTGCACACATGAGGGTTACGGATCAGAGACAGATTGTTTTTACTTACATAATAATAATTGTGCCAGTTCCCCATGCTCTGGAGAGATGCAGTAAGAATATCTGTCCCCCTGATGCAACAGGGTGTGTCCTATAAGGGAGGCATGCTGAGAAAATTAATCTAGGCATTTATGGAAAAAATGATAGGCAGCTGTTCTCCCCTTCCAAGAGGAGGTAGAAAAAAATGCCTCTGCTCCTTGAAGATAAGATGTAAAAGATCCTGGGTTCTCACTCTAACCCTTTTATAATGTTAAATAAATCTCTCCAGGGGCCATATAAGCCCAGTGTCACCAGATTTACAACCCAGAGACAGACATCCCTAAAGTCCCATGTCTCACCCCAACTTGAAAGGTAAACACACATCTCCAAAGGTGGGCAAGTCTTTTGAGTTCTCTTTATCTATACAGTTGTAAATTATCTTCTAGAGTTTGCCATCAGTCCAAATTTCCATAAAATTTGCTCAGAAAGACCTAACTGTGTAGAAACACAAAAATATTTTGTCTACGTTTCACAGCGTTCCAAAATTAATTCCTCCTTCTGCCTGGGCAACATGGTTGCCCAGCTAAAAACTTTATTTCCCAATTGCTTTCACATAGATGTGACTGAGTTCCTACCAGTGGGATTTTCACTTTTGAGTATGGTGCTACATGCAATCCAATTCATGTTGAGACTATGACTACCTTGAGTTTGTGTTGTGTGTAACAGACGCTACACATTGCTGTGATTCTCTCAAACATTTAAAAATCCTGCAGTTCTCTTGTGAGTTTGTTGTGGTACCAGGGGAGCTTCAGTGCACAGTTTACAAACTGGAGAAATAGCCCCTTAACATTTGACAGATAAATGACACTGACAGGATTTGTTCAGGTACTGCATATGAACAAGCTAAACTTCAAGAAGTGACTGGTTCAGCAATGTTGTAGTTTCTCATTTCATTCATTTAGTACGTCTTATGTGAAATTCCTGCTTGGAAATGGACTAGGACAAAGTCTGAGGACAAAGGGAACACTCATTTTCTTGACTGTGAAACAAAATGAGGATTAGTTATGTAACCAAATGGACTATCCCAACAAATACACAATGACAAATTCTCTCAGTTTTCCTCTGAGAATGTATTGATTTCACCTTCATTCCTAAAGGATATTTTCACTGAGTAAACAATTCTCAAGTTCTTGAAACATGTTCATTTCCTTCATGTTTCCATGGTTTCTGATGAGAAATTTGCTGTCATTTGGGTCATTGTCCCCCTACATCTAATGAATCTTTTCTAACTGCTTTCAAGATTTTTACTCTGTCTTAAGGTTTAAGAACTTTCACTATGAGTGCCTTGAACTTCTTTAGTGGCTTTTTTTATTTTTTAGCTGAGCCATCCTGCCACCTGTTGGCAGCTCAGCGGCAACTCAGCTCGGGCTGGACTCGAACTGCTGTTGCTCAGAGCTCAAACCCTTGAGTGAGCTCTTAACCAACTGAGCCACTCAGCCGGCCCTACTTCTTTGGAGTTTTGGAGTTCATACATTTGGAGTTCATACATCAAATGGAGTTATACATTTTGGAGTTCACATGGTTTCTTGAATCTGTAGGTTTATGACTTTCACTAAATTTGGAGACATGTTAGCCAGTTTTTCATTGAATACTTTTCCAGCCCACATTATACCCTTTTTTTGCAGGGAGGGTGGAGGACTCTGATAACACCAATCTTTTGTTACTGTTCCATAGGTTCTTAAAACTCTTTTTTTTCCCCAGCCTATTTATTGTTCAGATGGGAAATGTCTATTGTTATTTCTTCAAGTTCATATACTATTTCCTCTGATGTCACTATTCTACTATTGAGCACATCCAGTGAGTTTATTTTACTTTTTTTCAATTCTACAATTTCCATTTGTTTCTTCTTTATATTGTTATTTAATTTATATATTTTAATTTATTTCATTTGTTTTAAGTGTGTTTGTAATTGCTCAATGAAGCATTTTTATAATGACTGCCTTAAAATCCTTGTCAGATAACTCCAACATCTGTGTCATGCCATTTTTGGCATCTGTTGTCTTTTCTCATTCAAGTTGAGATTTTCCTGGTTTTTGATATGATGAGTGATTTTTCTACGTATCCTGGATATTTGGGTATTATGTTATGAGACCATAGATCTTATTGAAATCTTCTATTTTAGCAGGCTTCCTCTGATACTGTGCCAACAGGGGAACAGTGTAGAAATCTAGGCTACCCTTGAGGCCTCCACTGACATCCCACTCCACTAGGGGGAGATGGGGGGAGGGGAGGAGCACCTTGTTACCATCAGATAGGGGTAGAACTTCAGGGCTGCCTCCTTTGCACCACCCCAGAAGAAAGGGGGAGGAATGCCTCATTACCACCAGACACTAATGAAAATCTGGGCTCTCCATTCAATATTTGCTGATGGGAGTGAGGATGGGGTCATGGCATTTTCCATGCTGCTTGGCTAGAGTAGGGCAGTTTTTGTCAAATGGTTTGTCTTGCCAGATTGTCCTTTTCCTAAGCCTTTGGCAAGAGAAAACAGGCTTGGGTGGGAGGGAAGATAATTTGTTCAAATGCATTGGCTCCTCCAGCATCTAGTCCAGGATATAAAAGAGACAAAAAGAAAACCCAGGAAACTCAACACCATGCTGTTCCTTAAATTCAGGCTCTCTGGCTAAAGTCTCCATCTCTCCCTCTTTCAGAGTTTGGTTCTTAGCTTACTTAATGGGAGGAATAGGGAGAAATGCATCTGTTCCGCCTTTCTGGAGCCAAAAGACCAGCCCCCTTAACAGAAGTCATTACTTTCTTCTCTGGGCAATTCTATTGCCCCCACCTGGAGGAATGGGCAGGATTTTTCCAGCACATAGAAAAATTTAGATACACATCTACTCTAAACAAGCCTAAGTGTCTTTCCTCAAAGGCCTCTACTGCCTGGTTTGCCCACTGTTTATTAGTTGAGGAGCAAGGGAGGAATATTAGGAAAAGTAGATTGAGGGGATGGGGAGATTTATGAGAAGAGAAAAACTGTGTAGGAGTGGTTTATCACTTGGGGTTTTTTTTTTGTTGTTGTTGTTTTTCTCCACTACTTCCCACACTTCAATGGGTAATAGGAAAAAGGAACTTACATGTAGAAAATGAGGTTTAAAGATACACAATTAAAGTGTTTTTACCCCCCAGAACTTCACCTCCCCTCCCACTCCAGGTAATGATTAAATTTAAAAAAACTTTCCTTTATTCTGGTTTTTATTTAGAGCTTTACTAAATTAGACATGCAACTTCACACTTTTGGTTAAAGTGCCATAGGATCTCTATTTAATAACTACAAAAACAGGCAAATTGTAAAGGTGACAAGTTATGAACTTGATGTTGACACAAAGAGTCACTAAAGACCAAACTTATATAACTACTGAGATAATAATGTTAATCTTCTTGTTCTATAGCTCTTTCTTGGTTGAACCAACACATCTACTCTAGGTTTGACGATTGATGATGCCTGGAGTTGGATGTATTATAGTTTTTTGAAGAATTGCCTTTTTTCCCCACTTTTGGTATTTTCTATCTTAGGCACTGGCTGGCCTCTTTCTTCTCAAAAGAACTCTTCTTGCAATATGAGTATTAAACTTGTTCTTACGAACTTTCTTATTACGACAAGCATCCAGGCTTCTGTAGAATGTGTCTCTTTTCTGAAATGTCCCCTCCATTTCTTGCATTTTCTGCTTACATCTTTCTATCTTCTCTGCTTCTGATAGCTTCTGCTCTTTCTTGTCCTGTTCATAGTTTATCTGAATTGGCTCCTCTAGCACAGTTCTGTCTTTGTGATGATGGAGATCGTTGAGAAGCTCTACTCTCTTCTGTAAGAACTGGCATTCATTATCCAACAAAGCTGCAATCAAATGCAATGAATACATGTCATGGTTCAGTTTCCTCACCTGTGCCTCCAGCTCATGACTAGCTGACACCTCATTATTCGGATGAGTTTGGAAATGGACTCCATGATTTTCAAGAGTTACTCTTACATCTGTCTGAGATTTCTGATATAATTTCATTAGGTCACTAAGCTCTGTATGTTGCACACTCCAGCGTTCTGCTTCCTGTAGTAGCTGCTCCATGTTGTTCCTAAGTTTAATATTTCCTTCTTGAACATGATGAAATCCATACTCTGCTTTTTCCTTACTTAGTTGAGTTTCACTCCAAGCTCTTCTTTTTTTAGAATGACTTACCAAATTCCTTGCAAAACCTTGTACTGTGTCCTTTGAGTTCTGGCTTTCCAAAATCGTTGTCTGTTTCTTTGCACTGTGCTCTTCGTCTAGGTCTGAACCACCAACCTGGTTTTTTAATGGCGCTTTATTAATTTTATCAAGTCCTCTGATTTCTTCTTTCAGTTCTGACACATCCTCAGAGATATTGGTTTCCTCAAAAGGTTCTTTTGCCTCTGTGGTCTTCTCTTCATAACTTGTCCTATATTTAAGAATATCTCTAATTTCTTTTAAGAGGTTTTCAAACGTCTTTGCAGTCTGTTGTTCAGTTTCTTGTTGGCAACTATTATTTAGGGAAAGAAGAGAACTCCAGGAGATGGGGGGAAGTGATCCAATTTCAAGTAAGGCAATGACAATGTTAGGGTCCAAAGACTCTTGGTTGTGAATAGGAGCAGGCTTCAGAGTTGCAGAGATGGTGGGCACTTCCATCTCAGCTGAGTTAGTAGGGCTGGTGATCAGGGTACAAGGAAAACAGAAAACCTTAGAAGTTTCAGGAGAAAAAAAAAGGTGATGGTTGGTACTCTGTGCAAGTGGGTAGAGAATGTGGAACTAAGCAGAAGTTAGAGACCAGAGTTAAGGTCTGAAGCCAGGTGGATGATATTTACGTGGAAGGTGACATCTCAGACAACCTAGTGGGGAGGGGAGGTGATAAAGGGGACCCAGAGCTAGGGCCCCATCTCTCCTCCTCCAGGCTTCTGGTGTTTATTCCCTGACCCTAGCAACCAGGTCATCCCCAGCTTCTGTTTCCCTTGTGTCACAATAGAAGCCTCTTAACCCCCCACCCAGTGACTCATGCATCAAAATCAACCTTGCGTTAATCCTACTCCTCAGTCCAGAAAAATCTCTACACCAGTTTTCCTCTTTTACCTTTTCTAGGTTTTTACTCATCTCATTCTCACTGCGTTGAATGACTTTCCTACCTCATTCCACCTGCCCACAACGCCAACCTTAACTGCAGTGTGTTTTTCGACCACCTAAGTGTATGGCTGAGAGAAGCCCTCCTGGTGAGGTTCCCCATCCTTTCAAAGCACCTGGATATCTCATTGCTTCCATTGGAGGAGAGATGCTACTGAAAGTTATCTTTACAAAATAGAACCCCCAAAATGCTGCATCTTTTTGTGATTTTAGACAAATAATGTCAGGAATTTCCCCATTCAAAAATATTCTACTGGTGGGGCGGCCAGTTAGCTCAGTTGGTTAGAATGCAGTGCTCTTTACACCAAAGTTGCCTGTTCGATCCCCACATGGGCCACTGAGACGCGCCCTCCACCACTAGATTGAAACTACTTGACTTGGAGCTCATGGGTCCTGGAAAAACACACTGTTGCCCAATTAAAAAAGATGTTTTTAAAAAAATATTCTACTGAGTAAGAAGAGAATATGTGAATGGCTCCTTAACAACACAATTACAAGCTGGGACTTTTCTTGGCTTTGTATACCAGTATCCTTTAAGGTAGGCTTAGTAATCTTTCTCCTGAGTCTTTTACATCAGGTGATAAAAACTTCAGTCATTACTTTTCACAAGAACTTGTGAAAATTGCATAATTTACCAAAAGCATTGGGAAAAAAAAAAGCATTTGAAACAGCTAAATCCTATACTGGGTTACAGAAAAGAAACTGAAGTTACCTTGCAAATATTAAGTTCAAAGAACAACACGTTCCTTAAGCGAAACTTTTTCTTGGCTTTCAAAGTCTCATTAGCAAGCAATTTACTAACAAGAAGATTGTTTCCAATCTTAAGGGAAAAGTCATACTCTAGCTGTCTTTTTTTTTTTCTTTAGAGAAAAAAAAATACTTTTTTCTTTCACAGCTACCAACTCATTTTGGCTTAAATTTCCCTGAGCCTCGTGCTCATCTTCCAGCCAGCTGGCTCAGATCCATCACCTCATGACTCCACAGATACAGCAGTGTTGGTCCTTTTTTTTACTTGCAGAAGGAGCAGCTTTTCCAATTCACACAATGATACCATAGAGGCTAGTAATTGCCCTTATGCTTTAAGTCCATCTCATAAGATCTGACTTTGGTTGGTATTTCCCCTTTGACTCAAGCCATCATTTATAATAGTTTTTTAACCTCTGAGACAAGGGGACTTTTTTATTTTTCCTGATTTAGTAATTAATTTCTAGCTTTATTGTATTGTAATCAGAAAATATAATATTATACCTTTAGAAACTGATATTTTCTCTTTGGACTAACAGGTTATCAATGTTCATATATTTTTCATGGCTACTTGAAAAGAAAATGTATTCTCTATTTTCTTCTTGTGCTTGCAGCTTTTTTATACTTTTGGACATAAATCTGACATTACCCTTGATTTTTATGGAAACTGGTTTGAGGTTAGCTTGGTTAAGATACCAAAAGAATTATTTTCCTTTCATCAAAAGGGGATTTAAGTATTTTCTTCCTCCTTACAAATATAATGAATTTCAAAATAACATTTCAGTTAACTTTATTGAAAATTGAGTTTTCTATAGATGCTAAAAGATATTCAGAGTGGTCTTCTTTTCCTTATTGACCCATGTTTTCAGTAGATAACTACGGGAGTGAAATACATTTGGATTATCTTACAATTATTATCTATCAAATTCCCTGTAGCTTTCTGGCTTTTAAGAAAGAAATGCACAAACTGTTTCTAAAAATATTAGAGACAAAACTTGTATAGAATTTTGTCTCTCCAAAACCAATTTGCTTTAACATGATGTCAATATGTTTTATTTCTGGTGATGTTAACTTGGCCATTTCACTAAGTGATATCTGCTAGATTTATTCACCATAAAGTTACTATCTTTCCCTTTGTGATTAACAAACATCTTGGGGGAGATATTTTGAAACTATGAAATTATCTGGTTTCTTCTCAAACTTTTGCCTATGCAGTATAATTTTAGTATTCAGAAGAGGATCTTGCCTGCAACGATTATTGCCGTGGTGATCTAATGATTTTCTATTTTTCCCATTCCTTTTATATTTATTTATTGTAAGAAGAACTGTCTTTTTTTCTGTATTTATCTTTATTCATTTATTCAACTATGTGTTTATATAAGCAGGGACTCACAGATGCTTATTGTATTTTAGGGTTATAATGAATACTATCATTTATTGCTTCAATATATATGAATAATTTTAATATGATGGGATTTTTTGATATGAGGTGTGTGTTTATTTTGTGTAGTTGTTCTAATTGTCCAGTAGTGTTGTTTTAGTTTTTTTTAACCAAAACATAATAGCTGATTAAAGATGACTATTCGAGAATTAGTCTTTACATGCACGAGGGATTCTATGCAGAGTGTGATTTTAAGCATAATGACTTGTATAATTGCTTTTATATAAAGTATTGTACTTGTGTATAGCCAGTTTAGAAATATTTTGAAAATGTGAAATTTTATTCAAACAAGCAAAATGCAGGCATAGGGGGACAGAGATATTAACCCTTTTCCTCTACATGTCTTCTTCTCTTTCACCACCAAGTGGTGCTGTGGACTTCAAAATTACTACATAAACTTTTTTTTTTTTTTAATTAAATTCTAGAATGAGTTAAACCGGGTAGACATTCTCATCCGCAGTCTTATTTTCTTCAGAGGTTGAGAGTGGAGATTCTGCGTGCTTTCCCACAGTTACAACTAGTTATAAGTAGAGCAGGAGTCCAAACCTCTTGTTTTAACTTGTTAAACTTCCAGAGGTGGCAGGCTCTGCAGATCAGGAGGCTGGGGAAGAATTTTTAAATATACTCTAACTGTTATACAGGAAAAGAGTTATGTATGTAGGAGAGCATGTTTTCAAAGCTGCTGAGACTGGCTTGTTTTACCAGGTTACTAGCAAACAAACCTATATAACACAAATTGCATTTTGACTAACAGAAATGTGACCAGAGGCTCACAAGAATTTAACAGTGTATTTCCCTTAGAAGCAGTAGTTCTGTCTTTCCTAATTCAATGTAGGCAACAACTTTATGAGTATAACATAATTACTGCACATAGCCAGAATCAGCTGTGTGTAAGAAAAAGTTTAACAAAATTTGCACTCTGCAAACTACAAAGTATTGTTGAAAGAAATTAAAGAAGATCTAAATAAAGAGGAAAACATCTCATGTTGATGGATTTGAAGACTTGAATTTTGTTAAGATACTAATACTCCCCTAACTGATCTACAGATTCAACACAATCTCAAAATCCCAGCTGCCTCTTTTGCAGGAATTGATAAAATGATCCAAAAATTCATATGGAAATTCAAGGGATCCCAAATAGCCAAAACAAGCTTGAAAAAGAAAAACAAATTAGGAAGACTCACATGACTTTATTTCAAGTCTCACTCTAAGATATAGTAATCAAGACAGTGCGGTATTGGTGAAAGGATAGACATATAGATCAATGGAACAAAATAGAAATAGACACACGTAAATATAGTTAATTGATTTTTATCAAAGCTACAAAGGCAATTTAATAAATGGTGCTGGATAAATTGGTCATCCCTATGTAAAAAAACAATAAACCTTGGCATATACCTCAAACTTACAAAAATATTAACTCCAAGTAGAACATATACTTAACTGTAAAATACAAAACTAAATTTTGTAGAAAATATAGGAGAATATCTGTGTGACCCAGTATTTGGAGATGAGTTTTTTGATACAACACCAAAAGCATAATCCATTAAAGACAAGTGTGATAAGTAGAAATTTCTCAAAAGTAAAACCTTTCATTCAGTGAAAGACACTATGAGCTGAATATATGACAAGCCACAAACAGGGAGAAAATACTTGTAAATCATATATGCGATGAAGGGCATATTCAGAATATATAAAGAACTATTAAAACTCAACAATAAGAAAACAATCCAGTTTAAAAACTGGACAAAATATCTGAACAGAACCCTTCACCAAAGAAGATATATGGATGGCAAATAAGCCATTGATATAAAAAGTTGCTCAACATCATTTGTCATTAGGGAAGAGAAATTGCACAACAGTGAAATGCCATGACATGCCATTAGAATATTTAAAACTAAAAAACAAAAAACATCCCACAATACCAAATGCTGTCAAGGATTTGGAGCAAGGGGTACTGTCTTTCGTTGATGGTGGAAAAGCAAATATGATAAAGGCACTTTGGAAGACAATTTCCCAGTTTCTTGTAATGTTAAACGTAGGCTCACCATATGACCTAGCAATCATGCTCCTAGGTATTTACCCAACTGACTTGAAAACTTATGTCTACACAAAAACCCACATGAGAATGTTTATAGTAGCCTTTATTCGTAATCACCAAAAGTTGGAAGCAAGCAAGATGTCCTTCAGTAGGTGAATGGGTAAACAACCTATGGCATACATGACGGAAAACTATTCAGCAAGAAAAAAGGAACATGCTTTTCATTCACACAATAACATGATGAATCTTAACTGCATTTTGCTATGCAAAAAAAAAAAAAAAGCCTGACTG